ATTTCTCACAGGGGTTTCTTTTAACTGTGCACTTTTTGTCACTCTCGCAACTCGCAAGAGGCCCGGTATTATAGGGGGGTATAGGAAGCGAGTGTAAATATACCTTCCATCATCCACTGTGGCTTTTTTGTATTGTGAATGCGCATGCCGCTTCGTTTGCTATGCCAGATACCTCGAATAACCCCCATATGTCATTGCCAGGGTCGGGATAGAGCTGGAGATAGCATTGAAAAGTTGCTAGAAATAGCTAGATTTAGAGTAAACTGGTGGTAGCTGGGTGGTGCTAGCATGGATGTAGCAGAACGTAGCTACACGGGGTTTCATTGGAGTTGGTTATTTTAATGGCCAAAGAGTGCCGGAACTAAAGTTACTTAAGATTGCAGTTGAGGGGCAGTGTAAACCACGGTGTAGTCAGGGACACAGAGCTACAGTGCAGGAGTACTGCAAGTGCAAAAGAACAGTGCAAGTGATACAGTATGCAACAGTAAAACGCCGAAGAAGGAGATAAGATTGTGGCTGCAGAGGAGGAGAGGAGCTGGAACCTGATTTTGTTTGGGTTGAAAGAAGAGTAGGAAGAAGAGTTTCCTGCTCTGGTAACTGCATTTTTGGAAGAGGTGGGGTGAGAACTTATTTTCAAGCGACAAGGGTGGGCTGGAAGCAACCAGGTACAGCTATCCGACCTATTAAGATCACCGTCCTGAGCTTAACAGCCTTTCATCAGAATCTGATGAAAACAGAGAGACTGACCCACCCTTTTTAGATTGATTGATCAAAGTGAGTCTCTTTAGCCCTCTTCTTCTTTAGAGCTTTAGATTAGTGATCAAACTCTTCGCTACTCGCTCTTCACTGGATCTATCAGGACAGATTCACATCTTTTTAGGTCTCAACCAGCCTTAGTTTTCCTGTTTTCATCATGTAGTACGTTCTGCTACCTCCATTTTAGCACCACCCAGCTTCCATCAGTTCACTCTAAGTCTAGCTTCGTCGGCGTTTTACTGTTGCAGACTGTATCACTTGCACTGTTCTATTGCACTTGCAGTACTCCTGCACTGTAGCTCTGTGTCCCTGACTACACCGTGGTTTACACTGCCCCTCAACTGCAATCTTAAGTAACTTTCGTTCCGGCACTCTTTGGCCATTAAAATAACCAACTCCAATGAAACCCCGTGTAGCTACGTTCTGCTACATCCATGCTAGCACCACCCAGCTACCACCAGTTTACTCTAAATCTAGCTATTTCTAGCAACTTTTCAATGCTATCTCCAGCTCTATCCCGACCCTGGCAATGACATATGGGGGTTATTCGAGGTATCTGGCATAGCAAACGAAGCGGCATGCGCATTCACAATACAAAAAAGCCACAGTGGGGGCACAGTGGATGATGGAAGGTATATTTACACTCGCTTCCTATACCCCCCTATAATACCGGGCCTCTTGCGAGTTGCGAGAGTGACAAAAAGTGCACAGTTAAAAGAAACCCCTGTGAGAAATCGCATTTCTTGCACAACTGGGTCTAATTATAGAGGTAAATAAGAGGTCCGGTACATTCAGATACCCGGTATAGATTGGCAAGATTGACGGTACAGAGGTTTTGATCATTGAAATCAATTAAATGATAGTACAGCAGGTAAAATCGGTTCGATCTTAAATGGTCCTTTTGTGCTGTTTCTTTATGTGGGATTTGTGGAATAAAAGCTGTATTGTAATTAGTTATGAAACTCTAATATTGTGTGGTTAACCTTTTTCAGGTTCGGCCCTTTCCGCTAAGCTATTCCTAATTACTAAAATATGTCGAGATTTACTGAACTCCAACTTCAAATATTGATGATTTTAGTATTCCCCTATCTCAAAATCTTCGAAGTTTTTCTGCAAAGCATTTTTATCCACGTTTCATGCAATTCGATCACTTTTGGCGGAATAAAAATATTTTTAAATTTTCAAACTTTTTTCCAAGTCTCGAAAAAAATTTTTAAGTGAAAAATTTTTGAAGTTTTTCTAAAAACTACATTTCTCCGTGTTTCAAACGATTTCAATCATTTTGAGCCAATACAAAATTTTCAAATTTTTTGGTGATTAACTAATTGGTAATTATACAATTAGCTGATTGTCCAATGTAAACATTTTTCACACAAAAGTTTTACTCCTTGATAAGATAAACATTCTAGGTTAATTTTCAGCCTTTTAAGACGCTCACAACTAAAGATATTTGGCAAACCAGACAGGTGGTACAAAGGTGGTAAAAAGTGGTAAAAGTGGTGTTTCTGTTGAGATACAAAATTGGCAACAAGTCTAATTATGTTCGTAGGGGTCTTAACTACCATATTCCGTTGAGAAATCCTTGTGAACATTCAAATCCAACGGAACCCTTAAATCGACCACTTTTCCCCTTACTATAAAGTAACACTTAAAAATTAGCTATTCAAGATACAGTCCAGGTACGAAGAATTAGAATGGACTCAATGAAACAAGAAATTTCAATGAAACAAGAAATTTAATTTTAGCACATTTTACAGAATAAAAAGATGTAAAACAATTCATAAAATATAATGCCCATTTGGTGTATGACTTTTTGTCCTTGACTGCTAGTTTGGTTTTGGAAGGACAGGTAACTAACGGGGCAAGGAATTCGCGTGCCTGAAAGCTTTTGCACACACCGAAACGCTAGTTCAGTTAGGTTTTTAGAGACAAGGCTCATATTAGGACTAGAAGAAATTTTTTAGTAGACATTACGTGTCTACTAAAAAAACAGAACCCGTAGGGGTTCTGTTTATAGTTTACTGAATTTAACTTCGATAAGAATGAGCTTGTGTTCTGTGTTCTAAAACTCATGAAGTAAACAGAACGAGAGTTCTTTGACTTTGTTGTTTTTAACATTGAAGAATCGTTTGGCCATAACGCCGAACGATATATGCAAAGGGACGACAAATGCAACAATAACACTAAAAAACTACTAAGGTATTCTTTTGAAAATATGACAGTATTTGCTTTAGCGCTCGATTTTCAAACTACGTGTAAATTTAGGTGAAAACTAGGTGTAAATTTTCGAAAATATGCGCGGCGCACCTAAAATTTTGGTTCCATATTTAAAATCAATTTTTTGGTCAGAATTATATTTGATATATTTGAATTTAATTAGTCGTTATCACACGATATAAAAAAATATATAGCACCTAAATACCAAAAATGAAGTGCGCGCTAAAAAGCCTAGATTTTGACCACTTTTTTGGATTTTTACCCAGGGAAAATTAAGGAATTTGTTTATTTTTGTAAGTTGTGTTGTGCGGCTGACATATCTACAGAGTTAATTTGCTCAAAATATCAAAAAACATTGTTGTTTGGCCTATTTTGGCTTGACCATTGTTAATGATTTGGCCCGGCGCGCGCTACTTCGTAGCTCTTGCCGTAACATTTCGAGAAGAAAGCGGCGCGCGCTACTTCGAAGAAATTTAGACGAGTAACATCCGTCAAATTTTGGCCCAAAAATCAGTTTTTTGCGATTTTATACCGGGGAAACTCAGTTTAATCATCCCAAAACTACTTCTAATCGATTTGATTTGATTGATTGATTGATTTTAAACGATTTATATGTTAAATTTATTTTGTAGATTTATAACCTATAATACCAAGAAGCACTCTAAGTTGGACTCGTCGACGGTCTATTATTATTCTTTTCTACTATAAGAATATTATTATATTTAAATTTTGCTTTTGGTACATTAATGAATTTGAGTCGGTATTAAGAATTTCAGTTTAATTTACAGCACGACTGAATTTACCAATGTGACCTTTTCAAATGCTGCCTGACTTATTGTTTTATTGATATTAAGTTGAAAGTTCACTCATTTTTATTCGAATTCATTAATCATTAATGTTTATATTACACTTTATGTGCACTGAAGCGTTTTCCTACAATTAGGGTTCCCTCATTTAACCCTTTAATCCTTTAACCCATTTAATAATACACATTCTTGATCAATTGGCTGCATTGAACCTGGCCAGATATTTTGGTAGATTTCTTCCTAAGATGTCTTTGCACATTGCTGTTTGTGGCTAATGCTAATCGGTAGTCAGTTTGTGGCCTTTGTATCGTATTATACTTGTGTAAGATATCACTTAAATTTTAAAAAATTTGATTTGTAACAAATAGTTTTTAATTGAAATTTTCGCTTATTCGAACTTTTTTGTTTTACAGTGACAGTTTAAGAGGAATTTTGTTTCCTCTATCATGTGAGTATTCGTTGCATCACTTCTTTTGATTGTCAGCCTGTTTGACACATACAGTTCAGAATCGTTAACCTCTCTAGCTCCTTTCGGTGCCTCCTCGAATAGCAGGGTACATGCTTAGTGTTGCAAGTATTAATATAATGTTGATTTACAGATGAATTGTCTAGCCAACTTAGCTTCACCCAACAAAGTATAAAGATGTAAGGATAGACCCTTCATTTAAATGTTAATTTTAAATTTTAAGACAAATGGTAACAAAACCATACATTCAAATAGAATAGTTAATTAGAAAGATGGAATCTATTAGGACTGTATTCAGTTCAGGACCTGAGGATGATTCTCTTCTTGGCTCGGTAAGGGGTCATTTTTGCAGTTCCAAAGCCCAGTTTATTTGTTTGTTTATCAGATAATAGTAATTGTTGTGTGATTTTGAGTTGATTTATATCTTTGATAAATGTAACATGTACTGTTCATAATATAAGCTATTGTGTGGAATTTGAAATCAGGAATATTTATTATTTCAAAAGATAAGATGATTGTTACATCAGTATTGATCTCATCATTTTCCCAATTTAAGGGCTTAATATTATAAGAAACTTTCCATTTATTACATACCCAAACAATTTTGTTGTAAAATAGATAAATATAATTAAATGGAAAATTATTATTATCTTCATCTTGTTACCCTATTGTTACCCTATTAAATATTGTATTCATTATCTTTTTCGAAACAAATAATCTTAAGAAAAATAAAGCTTGATAATCCAGAGCTCACTAGATGTATTCAGTATTCATTATACTGTTATTATCTTTATAATTCTTTACATGTAAAGAATTATATATTATTGTGCAAGCTTCTCGCGATTAGTCTCAATACAGATTATCTTAGGATGGAATCAGTAAGAGCTGTGTTTAGGGGAGACGATGATGAGTCTCTTTTGGATGGGGTGGGTTAGGCCATGAAAAATATTACTGCACATGAGATTAGTAATACACTGCTGACATGGAGTTTTGCATGAATTATATTCACTAAAACAAGATTATGCTATGTCCCAATTGGCTCTATTCATCACCTTCAGTTTGCCTTGTAACCCCCTGCCTGGTGTCCATGCCGGAGCTGAAATCCCATTCAGTGCTCATGGCCACTTATTCTGCAAGTGATTGAAATTGTTCTTTAAATCATTCTTGGGGTTTGATATTTATCTTTGCTGCACTGATCTGTTTGTTTGTTTGTGGAGTGTGGGGCACCAACCCTTCCTTGATACTTACTTACTTAGTAAGAGAGCTACAGCCTACATCCACCTTGGTAGAGGGACAAGTAACTATATCCTGGGCCGGATTCAGATATATACTCCCAGAGGACTAAGCCAATAAGCCATGTGGACGGCGACATCCCGAAGGACGTCTGCCATAGTGTGCAAGTCATAATTATCCGAGTAAGGGTATTATGAAGCTGATGCATATGATACAAATGCTCAAAATGTCTTTGGGTAGCAATGAAATATAAAACTCAGCCCTAAAATCTTAGTTAATTGATACAAATGTTTACTTACCTTTGAAAAGTAATTTTATTCCTGGTGCTCCAGCAGGCTTTACTTGCAATGTGGCAAGTGAAGCAACCAAGTTCCCTGGTAAATCAAAAAAATCCCGGTGCATTAGTGTACCCACTTTTGAAAGCATGTTTGAAAAATTTTAAGTACTGTAATTTTCACTGTGATATCTATTTGCAAGCGGTAGGATGGGAATGCTTGATATTCTAGTTGGTCAACAGGGGGATGAAGCAAGTACTTTATGTGTCATTGTTCTCAAATCTGAATATAGAGCACAATTTAAAGATAAAATCGTTTAGACTTACATGTGTAATGTGTTTGCTGCAACTTGATAGAAACTTTGATTAGATGATTAATGTTATAAAGGAATGCAACGACCAATTTTGAAAACAAAAAGTCATCAATTATTGTTAAACTGATGGTCGACTGTTGGGACTGCAGATGACTAAAAAAAGGATACAAAATGAACACTGATAAGTTGTAGTAGTCAAAGTTAGTCACCCCCTACACATTCCTTTAGACTGAATTTGAAATTCACAAAATATCTCGTTTATTAGCTGCTGTTAACCTTATTTGGAATATTGTGTTTCTTTTAATTTTCCTCTTTCGGTTGTTTGCTTGATAACAATCACAATTAAAATTCTGTACGATCTTACAATTCTGAGTTGTGCGATAAAATGTTAAAGTCAATCAAATTATGTGCTGTAGTGTGATCAGACCGGCTCCCCACACGTTTGATTAGAAGGTCGACATGATCACAGTGATTGCTGTAGTGCTGTGCATGTGCGCTGCCCAATAATATACACTAGAAACCTTGCATGTTCTTTTATGTTACACTACAGGGCAGAATTGGGGCTGGCGGATAATGGACATTCTGCACTTGACATTCAAATTAATCCTAGACATTTCTAATCGGGTTCCATGTTTCCATGTTATCTAGTTTTATTGTAAATTTTAAAGATGCCAGTGTTTGAGCTACATTAAAGAACTATTAAATCTAGATATTATACTGCTAATATATTCAAAGTAAATCACAAACTGTACTCTCTTGAACTACAAAACCCTAACAACTGACATAACCACAGGTCGATAACTACTGTAACTTAAGCTGGGAAAACAGATTGTACGCTTTTGGAGCTTGCTTTGTTATTGGCATCTTCTTATCCGTCTTCGTGAGTACCATCGTTTTTATGGCTTCTTATTTACCTTGACTTTTTGTCAGAGTGAGATAATTTTGTTTGGTAATCACTAAATATTCACTAAATACCCACCACTCTAACAGGGTTCTATTGAAGTATGGTTGGGGAAATACACCGCCTTTGCCCTGCTTTATTCTCTTGGAACACTAGTAGCACTTGCTGGGTACGTGGCTTGTGTTTCATCATCCAATTACATTACCTGATATCTCTACTTATTACTATATATTACTAATATCTCTCCAGTTTCACTAATTACTTTACCTATCAATTCTCTTGGGAAATAGTAAATGTAGAGTCGTAACTCACTCTATCATTATAACTGAAATCAACTCGAAATATCATAACTCCTTAAAACTCGTTATCCAAAGTCCTTATTATAATTCCTCAAATCTCCTTGTTAAAATTTCTTCAACTACAGAACGTGTTTCTTACGTGGTCCGGTATCCCAAATAAAGAAGATGTTTGATAAAGATAGGCTGATAGCCTCGTGTGTTCTGATTGCTTCTATAATCCTGACTATCGTGTGCGGATGTGTTGTAAGTTGTTATTTAAATTGTTTTATTAATTAAGCAATATGTCATTACTTGTCATATAGTTAATAATGATTGAAAACTGAGTTTAAACTAAATATCCTAATTTCAGCTAAAGATAGGAATTCTCGCTATAATGTGCTGCATAGTACAGTTCATGGCTTTTACATGGTAAGCAATTTTCATGTCAGGTCTTAGTTTTCAGATTGTCTCTCCTTCTTTTGGCCTTTAAACTTCTTTGATAACATAACTAACTAAAAACTAACAAATTTTGTTACCTTGATTATAACCAGGATTATATCTTCTGAATGTTGAAATAGCTACGGACTCACATGTATATTACTTTTACAACTAAATAATTATATAGGTGCAACAAATTATACTCTGTTATATACGTCAAGCCACAAGACATTAAGTCATTATAAGATAATTAAATGGAATGCTTCATGTAAAGAATAATTAAATGGAATGCTTCATGTAAAGAATTCCTGGCTTTACATCTAAAACTAAAGTACTAAAACCGATGAAAGTGTTGTTTGAATTATACATCTAGCGAATTAAATATTTAGTGCAGAATTGAGGGAGCCTGCAGCTACTTCACTATAATACGCTGGGCACATAATTGTTACATCTACAACAGTTTCATTTACAAAACTGTAAGCACAGTGCAACTCTAAAGAAAATGTTAGTTATTTTCAGCAGAGAAGAGGAATTTGTTTTCTATACTGGAATAGACGATTAGACGGGTAAATGAAATAAATAAATCAAATTTCCAAAGTCGAAGCCAATAATAAATCAAAAGGCGACATGGTAAATTCGTTACATAATTTGAACACATAATCACCTTATAAATTGCCGATTTCATAATATTACGTTAATTTGCAATTTTATATATTAATACAGTCCAGAAAAATACTATATTATAATAATAGTTCTATTATAACATAGTAGGTACAAAAAGATAACAGTGTGCAACGTACGTCGACTGATCGACCGCGACCGATCCTCTCTTTTTCAAATGTAACATTTATATCAAATTTAGCAGAGCTTAATAATACGATACACTCAAAATTATATTTATAACCTACACTTGACAGTAAGTTAATCTATAGAAGTGTATATAAACTAAGTGTATATAGAAGTAAATATAATATCCCAACTACGTTATGTAATGTAGATTGTAGAGCCACCTTTTGGATCTACAACGTTACACATTAAACACAGTCCTAATACCACTATTCTCTGTACTGGTTAGCTCACTGGTCCGCATTATACTTATCCACGTCATGATGTATTGCAATTTGCGGTGTATCTTATCTGTTAGTTTGAAAAGAGTTTAGTTCGTTCCTCTTGTTTTGTAACTAAGAAAAGTGAGGTAAAATCCCGCTGGAGTCATTTTCGTGTGATTTCTAACATTTGAAGCTCTAAATTTCAACAACTGACCCGTTTCCCGCCAACTCTCCCTACATTATATAATACGATGTCTTCGCGTATTTGTCAGAACTTTATGCTGGCTACTGTTCTACTCTGCACTATTCTCCTTCTCTACCTGCATGTTCAGGAGACCTCCCCTCTCCCTCACCCTTCTATTGGAACTAGCCAGCAATATAACAACCACACTTCGGACGGGATCAATCGAGAAATCAGTTTTACAGATAACTACGGACAAGATAACTGAGGCTACTATTTAAGTAAGGCTGAAGTAGTGAAGTTTGCAACTATGTTAATTTGAACAGCACTATTGCTAGTGCAGGTGTTTTGTCATTATAGTCTCTGTACCAATATTTGGATTGTATTTAACATTCAATTTTTCATTTAATTTTAGCTTGAATAACAAATTGAGTTTTTAGTATGCAAATAATTTGACGGAAACGTTTGATTAAAAGATGCGTTGAGATCTGATAATATGTACACACGACGTACCTAATACAATATACATTACACCTATACCCAATATACCTGTAATATGTACACTGTACAATGTTTTAAATCTATAAGGAACGTGCGTTATGGTAACATCTGAGTAACATATATTACATGTTCGCTCCCAGCTGATGACCCAGATGTTCTGTACACTTACATTTTGCAAAGATTTGTTCAGATTGTACAGAGTACACACTTCTAACGTGTTTCTAGTGTTACTGAACTATTTTTGCGTATCGATTGACATTATCAAAAAGCTGTAGAATAAAGCAGGTCTAATTATTTATCTTGACAAAACAATGTGCGCTATTTAATGTTGTTATTTGATGTTGTCTTATTGTTCAATGTCCTTAGTCCTACTACGTTGTGGCTACGTTAATGATTAATTATAAATATAGATATTGGGACAATTCAGGACTGAAGGATGATATATACACCAGCTATGGTATTTAATTAATATAACTTAACTTAATTAATTAAGTTAATTAATATAACTTAATCTCCTCAGGTACACGTTATCCTACATTCCTTACGCGAGGAACGCTGTAAAATCCTGCTTCTCAGGCTGCACTGGAATGGAATGTCCTTGTTAGACACTGTTATATAGCAGTTGCTATGGTAACCTGAACATGTAGCAGTTGCTATGGTAACCAGAACATGTAGCAGTTGCTATGGTAACCAGAACATGTAGCAGTTGCTATGGTAACCAGAACATGTAGCAGTTGCTATGGTAACCAGAACATGTAGCAGTCGCTATGGTAACCAGAACATGTAGCACTGTAGCAGTTGCTATGGTAACCAGAACATGTAGCAGTTGCTATGGTAACCAGAACATGTAGCAGTTGCTATGGTAACCAGGACATATAACATTTGCTATGGTAACCAGAACATGTAACAGTTGCTATGGTAACCAGAACATGTAGCAGTTGCTATGGTAACCAGAACATGTAGCAGTTGCTATGGTAACCATAACATGTAGCAGTTGCTATGGTAACCATAACATGTAGCAGTTGCTATGGTAACCAGAACATGTAGCAGTTGCTATGGTAACCAGAACATGTAGCAGTTGCTAGGTAACCAGAACATGTAGCAGTTGCTATGGTAACCAGAACATGTAGCAGTTTGCTATGGTAACCAGAACATGTAACAGGTTGCTATGGTTACCAGAACATGTAGCAGTTGCTATGGAAACCAGAACATGTAGCAGTTGTTATGGTAACCAGAACATGTAGCAGTTGCTATGGTAACTAGAACATGTAGCAGTTGCTATGTTGCAAATCATAGCAATGATATAGTTATGTATAATAGTATGTCAGTTATGTTCACTGGAAATTTGAGTGTAATCACTGATATGAGTAGTTGATTTCACTAGTTTAACAAATAATAATACTATTAACAAGGGTGATAATCACCGATCTGTTACTCTAGTTACAATGTTATATGTCACACTTTCTGTTACAAATTTACAGTGTGTGTTTAAATTACATGTCAAAATATTATGTGTTGACTAAGAGATGATTAAGTAATACTGTAACTGTGTAAGGATACCTAAACCTCTATTAAATTATTCAGAAGTTATAAAAGTTATTCAGTATACATTTCGAGTTGGTGATTCTAATTTTTCTCTTATTTCACAAGGACTGGTTTATTTTTTAAAGGGCATGTGTTTATACATATGATAACATAATACGGAAGCATATGTTTCTATTCGATATTTTTATTTCCAAATGTCTTGTCTTTCCTCAAGATGGTCATGGGTGTAGGAAGCGGGTGAAAGGAGTGACAATCCTCCTTAAAATTTTAGAGGGGGGAATATCTACCCCCCCCCCAGCCCCCCTTGATTCGACATTGATTTCCAATTTAAGTTAAAACGGTTGTTCAAAAACCAACTTGTGTCTGCTGGTTTAAAACTGCCGGTAGTCACCCTTTTGGAAATAAATTTGTTTCCTCAATGCTGGAATTATTCTTAAAAAATTTAAAAACAAAATTTGAAAATTTAAACCCTTTTCCCCCAATTTTTAATCTTGAGTTGGGTTTTTTTTGGGTGTGAAGGGGATTGTAAAAAGGGTTTTAAAAGGGGGTTTTATAAAATTAATATAAATTTTTGGGAAAGGGTTTTTTTGGGTTCTTTTATTTTTAGGTTTGAAAAATTTTGTTAGTTGAAATTTTTTTGGTGTTATTTGTTTTTGAGTATATTTTTGGGTTAGACTCATTTTTTTTTTGGGGGTTGTTAACTTGTTTTATTTTTGATTTATTGTTATAATAGTTTTTTAGAAAGTTTTGGGGGGTTTTTTGTAAATTTTTTTGGGTTTAAAAAAGTTATAGTTTTGGAGGGGGGATTGTTGTAAAAATGTATAAATTTGTTTTTTGTGTTTTAGTTTTGGGGGGGTAGTATAAATTTATGAAATGTAAAAATAGGTTTTTTGGGGGGAGGGTTTGTTTTAAGGGGTGGGGGGTGTGGAATTTTTTTTTTTTTTTTTTTGGGGGGGTTTGTTGTGGTGTGGTTTGGGTTTTGGGGTGGGGGGTTTTGGATTTTTTGGGGGTTGTGGGTGGTGTTGTTGGGTTTTTGGGGTTTTTGTTTGGGTTTGGGGGTTTTTTGGGGTTTTTTTGTGGGTTTGGGGGGGTTTTGGGGGGGGTTGTTTTTTTGGGGGGTTGTTTGTTTTTTTTGTTTTTGTGTTTTGTTTTTTTTTTTTTGGGGTTGGGGTTGGTTTTTTTTAATTTTGGGGTTGGTTTTTTGTTTTTGAGTTTGTGTTTGGGGGGGTTGTTTTGGGGGGTTTTTGTTTTTGTGGTGGGGGTTTGGTTTTGTGTTGTGTTATTTGTTTTGGGTTTTTTGGGGTTTTTTGGGTTTTTTTGTTTTTTTTTTTTTTTTTTGTTTGGGGGGGGGGGTTTTTGGGGGGGGGGGTTTTTTTGTTTTTTTTGGGGTTTGGGGGTTTTTTTTTTGTGGGGTTGTTTGTTTTTTGTTTTGGGGGGGGGTGTTTGTTTGTTTTGTGGTGGGGTTTTTTGGGGTTTTGGTTGGGAGGGTTTTTTTTTTTTTGGGTGGTTTGTTTGGGTTTTGTTTTTGGGGGGTTTGGGGGAAGGGGGTTGGAAAGTTATTTATTATTGGTTTGAGAAAGTTTTTAAAAAAATTGGAATTTAAAAGGTTTTTTAAAGGTTGTTTTAAAGAGGAGGTTTTTGTACCCGTATTAAAGGGGAAAACTCCAAACCTTTTTTGCCGGGACCCGGGATTTGACTTAAAATTTTATGAAGTATAGTTCAACAAAAAGATTTAAGGCTTAAAAATTTTTTTTTTGAGAGTACGCACATTCAAAAAAAAAAATTATTTTTTTTTTTTCGAACGTTTAAAATTTTTGGAAGTTGCACTGTAATCCCGATTTTTCATCTTTTAAAAATTTTTTTTTGGCTGTTTTTTAAAAGAACATTTTTACAATCCGTACAAGAAGCTCTTGAAAGGATTTTTAATTAAAATATGAGACAAATTTACAGACCAAACAAGGTCAAAAGAAGCAAATTGAAATTTTTGTAAAAATCAAAGTTGATATTTTCCCATTCACCAGGCATAATTTTCGCTTCAAAAATTCTTGGAGTGTAGCGTGTTATACCCCCCAAGGGGGGGGACCCTTGTGTTCGAGTGGAAAATTATTTAAGACAATTTGTCTTTAAAATCACCTATTTGGTACTAAAAGATTTGTTTCTCAAGCTGATTCGATTCTGTAAAATAATTTAAAAAAAAAACTGATAATTTTTGGGTTATGGGTTTTAAAACCTTAAATCTCCCATTTTTGGGCCCTTTTTTCGATGAATTTTACAAGTCTTTGAGGCCCTTTCTACCAAAAACTTAAAATTGAGAGAAATTTTTTCCCAAAAAAATTGGAATAATAATCACCTACACCACAAGAATTTTTGAAGCGATATCTTATGACCTGGGAATGATAAATTATAAACTTTGATTTTTACAAAATTTCAATTTTGCTTCTTTGGCCTTGTTTGGTCTCTAACCGTCACTAATTTTAATTAAAAAATCCTTTAAAGAGCTTCTTGTAGGATTGGTAATTAATGTTCGTAAAAAATCAGCCAAAAAAACGTTTAAAATGAGAAAAACGGTTTAAACAGTGACAGTTCTCAAAATTCCAAACTTTCGAAAAAGAAAAAAATTTTTTTTCGAATTGGTACCCAAAAAAATTTTTCAATGCCTCAATTTTTTCAGTTTTAATCTATCTTTCATAATATGAAAAAAAACCCCGGGCCCCGGGCAAAAAAGGTTTGTTTGCTCCCTTAATGTTTGATAGGAGGTAGTTCAACGTCACTACGTCAGTTTTGTCCTTTTCCCAAATAAAACTGACATTAACTGACTTTTATGGAAATTTATAACTTTGCAATTCAGATTTCCAAATGTTCATCGCCAAAATTTCAATTTTGGCGATACATTCTAAGGACATAAACATTAAACAAGAGTATATCCACAACAAACATATTTACTCCCAAAATTAAACAGTTTAATATTCAAATATTCTGCACAGATATAAAATCATTTTTTCTTGATTATACTTTCTGGAAATCTAAAAATGATTGAATCAAAAAATTTACTGTTGAAATATTTGCCGTACAATAATTATTAATTAATACAAGACAGAACTCACAATTTTTAGTACTCTGTCAATGAGTGTGATTTTAAATCATACGGATTAGTTGTCCAAGTCATGCACTAACAATCAGTTCTATAATATATTTTCTAGGTCAACTTGATTATTTACATTACATCACTAATAATTAGTAAATTACTTAACTAAATTACCCTACTAATTAGATGTAAAATATCCGCTCAAGAAAATCCCAAAAAAGCTGTGACAAACACCTTGGACTGACTTGGCTGGATCTCATATTAACATAGCAGCTGTTTAAAATGTACATATCAGTGATAAAATCAGCTATAACACTTGCAATTATTACCCCAGTTTTCTTGTATTGCTCTCGTATGTGGAATGGTAGTTCTAGTTGTATAGCGTCTACTGTACTACTCATGGAGCTGCCCCATTCCTGTACAGTGTAACCCCCGCTGTAGTATTTGGCAGGAGGGGTGGGGTGCACTGGAGACGGCACTGAGATGAACCCCTCCTGTGTTAACCTGGCCCCCAGACTCTGAGGACCGCGGAGAATGTTCTCGAAATTGTACCTACTGCATTGACTAAGACAGCGTATAGAGGAATGTTCCGGAGTGGGTAGCGAGTGGAGCTGGTCGGAAGATAGCGCGTATCCTAACTCTACCAGCTTCTCAGGGTGGGATTGTCCGTGCACGTCAAATATAACGCCACGTCCACAATTCCGGACAACTCGAGCTCGTGCTAGCTTGATAAAGGCGTGGTAATCCCGCCACGCTTTCTCCGCGTGGGGATTGTGTTGGGCAGCGTTGTCCAGATCTCTGTTCACATCTAGTTTGCGTCTATTCAGGTTACAGATAACCAGATGTGGCCGCTCCCCCAGCATTAGCGACAGTTCACTGCGCAGAGTCACTGCCATCTCCAGGGTAAACGTGTCCCGCACCATGGACACGCTGAACTTGCTCCTCGAGAACTTTCACGGGGGACGTGTTGTTGGGAAAAAATTTTTCCCGGGTTGGTTTTGAGTATGGTTTTTGTTTCCTGGAAAAAAAAAAATTTAGGATGGTTTAATTTTCAGTTCTAATAGGGAAAGAATTCAAAAACTTTTTAGGTTAAAATTGAATGCGGGATTCAGGATTTCAGGGCGGAAAACGTTTAAAAAATCGAATATTAGTCACGGAGAATTTTAAAAAAGAATTTGGTTTTAAATTTGATTCCGAAAGAGTTAAACTCTCATTGTAATTTTGAAGGTAGCCCCGGTGGCCCCATGTGTAACCCCCCACGTTCAAAAAAAAGACCCCCATCCCCCAAAGTGGGCACAAAGGAAAAAACAGGGTTTTCAGACCCAGGGAAAACCTTTGGTAACCCTGTATCCTGATTCGTGAGGCTCGCTCTGTAACTGCGGATATTTTTAGGGTTTTCGTACTACTTTCTTCTTCGACATCTCAGCTAATTTCCCTTATTTAATTTTGTTTCCCCTTTTGTTCCCCTAATTTTTCGACATTTAAAGGGCCACTTTTAGTTCCCTGTAATTACCCAAAAAATTTTTTCCAATTTTTTTTTCCACTTTTTAAAAGTTCCACTATTTGTTTCCCCTATTTTGTTTCCTATATTTCCACATAAGTTTTGACTTATTTGGTACCCTTTAAAAAAGTTACCCCCGGGGTTTTTTCCACTATTGGGAAAAACCCATATTTACCACTATATAATATGTTACCTTTGTACCCTATTGTGTTTCACAATTTTAAAACCCCAAATGTTCCACTTTTGTTACCACTAAATATATTTCCCTTTTTGTTAAAACTTAATCCATATGTTTTTTTCCACAAAACAATCCTTTGCACAGTAAATACCATGTGTCAATATTGTGTTCACCTCTTTATCCCGAAAAAAGACTGACCTTTCCTACTTCTGTGACCACTTTGCCAATTCACAAAATGTGAATTAATTTTTTTAAACCCCTTTATTACATTTAATTAAAAACTCAGCTTTTGCGTTGTTGCAGTGATAAATAAGTCCGTATATTAACAAAAAACCCAAGAACCATCGGAAAGTATTTGGATACAAATTTATGTGAGCAGCGGACTGTGCAAAGAAAAAAAGAGAAAAATTTGGCAGTGGGGTGGTGTTTCCCTTGTTTACAAAATAGTATTCTTTAAAAAGCGAACATTTTTTTTGCCGTCGCCAAATGAAATTTATAAAATTCCTCCCTATCAAATCTGACGTCAAACCAAACTGAGAAAAAATAGGAAATTCGAGAATTGGGGGGAATTACATTTATTCAAAAATCCCCAAAAAAGAAAACCCTTTGAAAATCCATCAAATCAAAAAAGTCACAGAATTTTTTTGGCTTGGTTACCGGTATTTCTTTAAAATGCTTTGC